AGGGAAGCAAAGTAGTGCCGCCAACTTCTTCGAGCTTTATTATTTTCCCAAACAGCTAATGCCTACAGGTATGATATTGGCTCCAGGGTAGCCTCATTTTGCCCATGTACAGTTGAGCCAGGGTGTGTGTGTGTGTGTGTGTGTGTATGACTTGGATTGCAGGGAATCTCACTTCAAATCTGTGCTCACCCATGAAGCTCAATGGGTGAGGTGAGCCCAGTCTCTCTCTCCAAACTTATCTTCACAGGGCTGTTGTGAGAATAAATGGGATGATCCTCAAGCACACAACTGCAAGATCATTGGAGAGAGAATGGAATAAAAAAAAAGATAGATAACAATGCTGTCTAATAATCTCTCATACCGTATTGAAAGTTCCTCGATTTGTCCCCCTGCCCCCTTTGATCAAGCTCTAAAGGAATAATTTTACATATGCATGTCCATCACTCACAATCTTACCCCGCAGTGGCTTACTGCATGATGACAGCTGAACATGTGAACTGCCCCCATTTCAAAAAGAGACACTCCTCCATTGTCTCTCGAGACAGGCGGATACCATCCACAACAATATTTGAGATGATTTTACATGAAGGCTTACTCTGCGGGGTTTGATCTGTGTCTTGTTGCTTGATGTTGCACTTGAGCTGAATGTGCATCTCTTAAGTCTCTCTAATTGCAATCAACTTTGAAGTAAGGGGAGGGCAAACTACATTAGCTGTGGAAGTGGAACCTCACCCTGCCTAGAACTTGCAGTTAATCATGCCTCATCACTATTGCATGTGCAAACTGTTAATAATGCCTTGGGTACTCTGTTAAAGGTTCAACGATGTAGGTGGAGTTACTATTTGTGTGAGGCTTTTTAAAAAACTTATTTAATTTGTTTACATGTTTTAATTATGTTTGGGAGTAATATGCTTCCATTTCCCACTAATGCTAAGTGGATAGTTTTGTACTTGAAATGCCTGTGAATGACCTGGTAGATACTGGTTTTGCTGCTAAATGTGTATTGTTTTTTTATTCCAAGGTATGTCAGACTTAAAAAAAAAAGAATTATAACAAATGTAGAAACTTAAATGTTGTATAAAACAAGTATGAACAATAAACTTCTGTGTTTGTTATAAGACTGACTGCTGTGTTCCATTGAGCACATGGATTGATAATATGGACAGATTAGCTACATACGAATGAATTGCATGTCGACGCAAAATAAGAATGGATAAATATGAAATCTGGAACAAATATTTAAGCGATAAGGCGGATAGTGGTGGGAAGTAGGGGGAGGAGAGAGACGTGAGAAAATATTGTTTAAAAAGATGTAGTCATAGGTATGTTATTATTGTTATTATGGTTTTTGTTGTATGTGTCTTTTGCAGTTGATGTTTGTATCAAAAAAATGATTATATATATATATATATATATAAAGACTGACTGCTGTGTTGGTCTCTAAGAAAGAGGGAACAGGGAGATCTAAAATGGTGCTCTTTTCTTGGAGTAATTGTGTTGGTGGAGCAAGGCTTTTTAATTTTTAAAGTATCCCAGCTTTCCTAATCAATGCAGTTGGCCCAATAAAATACATCATTTTGACTCTGACCTATGGTTTTGTTTTGTTTTCAAGTACATTTATAGAATTATAAGTCATGCTTCCCTGACCTTTTATGAAATAAAAGAACTATTTTGGGCTTAGCTAATTTCTTAAACTGTACAATCTGCTGAGTAGATCCCCTGGGCTAGAACTGAAGAGTAAACAGTATGTTGGCTTCGCTGTAACAACAAGGCAAAGAGATAAAGCTATCCAATAGTAAATGTTAATTACATTTCTAATAGTCTGACTATAAGCCATTATGGTGCTAAAAAAAGGAAATATTCATAAAAGTAATTGGACATATTATGTAAACTGACATTCATTTCACTTTAGCATACTTCAGTGAGCACAATATTCTCTGGCTGTTCTGCTGTTTTCTAAATTCTCCAAGGTACGCAAAGGGGCATTGAACAAATAAGCATTTCATATAATTTAGCCAGGGTTTTAAATTTTTATCCTGCCTTTTAGATTTGCTACAATTGAATGGTTAAGTGTGTGGGTGTTTGTGTGTATCCCGGAGGTGTGGGTGTGTGTATGTGTGTGTGTGTGTATATATATATATATATATATATATATATATATATATCCCCCTGAAGATGATGGGCTTGGGTCTGGATGGTCCTTGTGATCAGAAAAAGTTAAACAGCTATAATAATTTGGGATACTTAATCTTTTGCTGAGCAAACACCACTGCATGTGCATCAGTTGTGTTTCCTGCATAACATGTTTAGTTGCCCCAAATCAGGATTCCCAGATTCATAGATGTTTTAGAGTGTGTGTGTGTGTGTGTGTGTGTGTGTTATTGCTGCATATTTGTTGCAGAAAATCCTGGCATACTCACAGGAAATACATTTGCCACCTAACATGTGAGCCAGGCAATTAGAACAGGCACCTGAGCACTTCTTTGGGGGGTAGGGAGTTGTCAACAGTGAACTATGAACCCCACCCCCCGTTAATTTTCTTGGACTCAAAGGGCAGAAACTGCTGTTTGCTGTGTGAAATACTTCAAATGCCTCTGCTCTTTTAAAGCCAAACACAGACATAGTATATTTTTGCCCAATTATCATCAACGAACTGTAATAAACTGTTACAAGAAGCTTGGCAGATACTTCAATCTTGGGGAAACTTGATTGATTTATGAGTTTATGAAGAATGCTGAAGTATGATGGATTGATTTTTTTTAAAAAAAATAGTGCTCTGGAAGTCAGTGCAGATGAGTGATTTAATGAAAATCACATTGCTAGCAAAGTTGCGGCAGTTTGCTTCAAGGGATTATATTGAAACAAGATAGGATAATATCTTAATATAACCACTACCAAATGGACATAATTGAGATCTCCCATATGCGCAATATGCGCATGAAGATCTGTCTGCGAAACATCGCCATAAATTTCTTTTACTCCATGAAAAATAATCTTTGAACATTTTTTTTTATATCAAGACAGCTATCAAAATGTTTATATACCTTCAAAAGAAAAATAACCCTACCAATGAGGACAACATGTCTGCTTCTAAAAGCTGATATTTGCTATTGACCTGATGATAAAGCAAGATTCTGAAACTCTTGATTTAAGGTAGATCAAAGTTATACCTGTCCTGACTACTTGGCATAGGGTGTGCTAGAAAACTGAATGGAGGCCGTTGCTTTACACATTGCCGTAGAAGGCAACAAGGCTTCAAGATGTAGTAAAGTATGTGCCCACACTACATAAGCCAGGGAAACGGGCTGTGAGCAACTGTGTCCACTTGTGGCTTGGCTCCCCGCAGTATCTTTTCATGGATCACCTGTGGTGAGAAGCAACTAGCTACCTCACAGGCAAAATCAGACACACAGATTCCACGGTGTACTTCCTTCTGCTGGAGCCATTAAGCACCTTAAATCATAATCACAGGCTTTGATTTATTCTCTAAGGCTTTAGTTTCTGCCTGAGCCACCTACTTCAGAGCCAATCTCATGCATGTCTGTTTGGAAGCAAACTCCATTGAATTCAATGAGGCTTACACTTACATAACTGTAATGGACCCTAGTTTCTATTTGATAGAATAAAATTTCCACATTCACTGCCTCCATTAAAAACACAGCCATCAAATTATGAGTTTTATTTATTTTTATTTACTGCAATTTATTTAAGACTGCCCAGTAACATTGTTTAAAGCTGTGTTTATGTTATATTACCAGCTGAACCAAAGACTCACATGTATCATTAGCAGTGCCCTGACAGCTCGGAAGGTAACTACCCAGTCTATATAATCACCAGGGCTACAGAATTCCTTTGTATGGTGAAAGACTATGCATGCCAGGTCCTTGTAGCGTACATTACAGGAAGTTGTGGTGGAGGAGGGACACGTGGGCTTCTTCCTACATGAAGGGACTTCCTAGTCCTGTAGGAGCTGATCAGATGCAAGCCCAGCCACCCCAATTCCATGGTAGCACCTCCAGAAGGGAGGAAATTCATGGGGCAATGGGAAATGTTTTGTGGGCTTCTCTTGTCCACCAGTCAGATAAACTGACGAGGACTTGCAATGGCACGGACTTATGGCTCTCAGCAGCACTAATATTCCAAGACCCAGGATTTACAGGTCTCGCAAGATTTCTGGGACCTTATAAACGGCCTCACACATGGTAAGCCTCAATTGGGCTTCCACAAGTAAAGCACGATACCAATAGCATCTCCCTCCCCACCCCCATTTTACTACCTTTTTATATGGCAATGTTCTGATCAATTCTCTGGAAATCTAACGAAGTTGTGGCTATTTTGCTCCAGCACTGTGGCCTCCTTATTTGTCATCTGTACAGTGTCTCTGTGTTATGTCTGGTTCAAACAGAATATGCAAATGATGTATGTTCTACGTTGTGGTGACCGTACTTTTGTTTTTCTCAAGCCCTTGGGATGACATAGAGTAAAAAAATATATCAATAAGCCTTGACTACCTTAACAACAGCACAAATGTAGGCTGCTCGTGCTCCTGTTTATCATGTTAAGGCTAAGAGGAAGGATTTGAACCCAGTTCCGTTGTCTTCAGATATGTATTTGTACAGCATCCTTGGCCATCTGTGTTTCTTACAGGCTAATGAAAATCCCTGGGAGCTGTTGAATGCTATTCTTAGACAAAACCTCATTATCTGGATTTCTGTACCATTGAAAGCATACAGATCACCCTGGAGAAGCTAATGGATGTAAATAAATCCACACCAATTAGGATGGTAAAAGAAAGAAAGTAATATGAAAGATCTTGTGTTCTCAAATGTGCTCTGTAACTGAATAGGGTTTTTTCAAATAGGCTACGTTGTTAAAGGAGTAATGCCATAATATAGCTCCACTGTGCCATTGCAAAGGAAATCAAAAACAATATAGCACGAAATAAGGTGTAATGGACCTCTTCTGTTAACAAGGATCTAATACAATTATTTTCCCCACAGGCATCATTGGCAAGCCACACCTTTGTTCTCAATTGCTTCTCCCTAGTTATGCATGTTATGGAGAAAATGGCTAGGAGAGAGGTTTTTCTCCCTATCTCATAGACTAGAACCCAGGACCATCTAATACAGCTGAAGGTTGGAAGATTCAGGACAGGTAAGAGGAAGTACTTCTTCATAACTAAACTATAGAATTAGTTCCTTCCAGATGTAGTGACAAACATCAAGTTGGATAGCTTTGAAAAAGAATTGGACTAATTCATGAACTAATTCTAGGCATAACAGCTGTGTTCCCAGTATGCTGGGAATCACGTGGAGAGATGTGCTGTTGCATTCAGGCCCTGTTTGTGGGCTTCCCAAACCAACTGGTTGGCCAATGCGCGAAGACGACCCACCCATGAGGTTGGGTGAAGCAGCCGCCTGAGGTGTTGGACAGTGCAAGAGGCAACCTCTCCACTGGTGCTATGCCCATTCCACTACTTCCGCTGCCACCAGAGAAGCAATCCAGGCAGTAGTAGAGAGGCACAGAATTCTGCCACTTAGCTTTGCCCTGCTGGTCTCTCTGCGCCCCTAGCGGCAGAGGGGGACCACCAGCAAAGTTCTCTGGAATGCCTCCCTCTTGCCGAGCTGGTGTTCCAGGTGCCCTTGCTCCGCCACCTCCCAGTGGTGAGGTTGTATTTCCTTGAGGGAAAGGTACCAAACCATCTCTGGCCGCCCCTGTGAATGTGAGAACAGGATGGCCTTAATGGTTTTTGGCTTGATCCAGCAGCGATATTCTTATTTTTTTATTACTTTAGGATACAACTCATAAGTAGTCGTGCAGGGGACTTATTGGGGCCAGAAAATATCATATAAATATGAAAAATATTGCAGGTGACACAGTTTGTGGAAGTCTGGGGTAGAAAGTCTTTTGAAGTCTCTTTCTCGCGGTCTTTGAAACCCAGAAATATAGCCCACTCCCTGCTTGCCTAGTCCCTGACTCAGTCCAACTCTACACCCCAGGTACACATATGCGGGCAACCGTTTTCTGGGCAAATACATTGGTTTTCTTTATAGGCAAAGCGGGCAAGAATTGGCACTCAATAAACAAAGAGAAGAGGCAATGGCAATCGGGCAACAGCTTTTTCTACCAGCCCTAGGAGCTTTCAGAACAGAGCTGCAGCCATGGACATTATGTGTGTGTCTCTTTTGGTGAACTGAGTGGAAGACAATGAACCACAGGAATTCAGCAGTGCTTCATTTTCTGTTGTAAGATTGCTAAAGTTGTCAATATTGCTTTGTGGATTATGAGTGCTGTAATACTTTGTGAATCTTATGAAACGACTTTCTTGTGGTTTTAGCTTATTCTTTTCATTGTTTAGTTAATAGTGTTTACAGTGTTTTATAGAAGGTTGTTTTATTGGTGATTTGCAGTGCAACCCAAGACATATCTAATCTGATGTGAACCCCATTGACTTCAGTGGGGCTTCCTTTCTCCAGGGGAGCGGGTATATGATCCCAGCCCAAGTTCCATTGATCTCGGAAAAACTTACCGTATTTTTTGCTCTATAAGACGCATCAGACCATAAGACGCACCTATTTGGAGGAGGAAAACAAGAAAAAAATATTCTGAATCTCAGAAGCCAGAACAACAAGAGGGATCGCAGCAGCAATCCCTCTTGCTGTTCTGGCTTCAGGGATAGCTGCGCAGCCTGCATTCGCTCCATAAGATGCACACACATTTCCCCTTACTTTTTAGGAGGGAAAAAGTGAGACTTATAGAGCAAAAAATACGGTAAGCACATGGGACTGGTTTTGTGCCTTATTTTGTGTGCTCATCCTGCTCCACAGCGCCATCTTATATCACAGCAAAGTTTTCCTTTCCTTTCCCCACTTCCATGCTGTATATAAGAAGCAATTGCTCAGCTGATTGGAATGATGGGCTGTGCATTTTTCAAAGGCATTACTTAACTCAGAAGAGGTACAGTTTAAGTATCTTTATGGATATCTCATTTCTTATGAATTTTTCAATAGGAGATAAAATGAGGTAATGTGCAATGGAGAGAGGAAGCTGTGGGCTTTTTTGTAGTTGTTGTTACTTCTCCCTTTTCAAATGGTTTTGTTTTGTTTTTTAAAATCTGTCATTTGCAGGAAAAACACCATGTTTAATATACAAAATCCTGTGGCTTGAAAGAACCTTTTCTTCCCCTCTCAAAGTCTATTTTGTTCTGCCTATGTAACCCGGGAATTTGGATAATTTCAACCTTGGTTAAAGCCCTTGTAGCTAACTAAAATGAAGCTTGTTAAGAGGTCAGCAATGATAAAAGGGGGATAATGGTCACATGTTATTTGCTAAACAGATTCCTGTGTACACATTACTGCTTGCTCTGGCTCCATTCTGCTCCCAGCACTGGTGCTTGAAGCCAAGGTACCCTTGCCGTTAGCCACAATCCATAGGTATCCTGTAGCTTCTGGAGAATCTTTCCTGTTTGATGGGCTTTCTTTCCCTCAAAGGAGCTTCCATCCAATTAGAAAATGGAAGCCATTGTTGAACTGGGGTGCATACATTTCAGGCAGCTGATACGCAAGTGCAGATGACAACTTCAGTCAACTGAAGTTTGGTGCAGGGAAACAAAGCGGTTAATGTGCATCAGGTGGTGACATCCCTGCCCCCCGTCTGGTTCTACAACCACTTGATTTAGCCTGGCAAATAAAAGTGAACCTTCCCTCTAGGATGCTTGGGTCATCTTCTGCACCAGGGTGGAGCTCCTCTTCACTCCAAATGTATCACAAGTGCATCAAATTGCCGTTTTGTGGGCAATATGGCGTCCATCCTTTTTTTTTTTTGAAGCTTCAGTGGTACTTCATTCTTTCTGAAAGGTTTTGTTGTGCCGTTTTGTTGCATGCTTCCTTTGTCTTACTGGAATATGAATGCTGAACATTCCACCCATACCTTGAGTTTTGAGTGTAGCACTTTGTGAGATGGGCAAAAAGCACACTGTTCAACCAAGCACCACTTGACCAGTTTCTTACATTTTGTGGGAACTGTTCTAACCATTGATATGGGACTGAGATGCATACTAAGAGGTTCATGGCTCTCTCCTCTGCTGCACACTTCTGTGTGTGTGGCTGGACCCGTTACTTTTCAATGTCAGCCCTGCCCATCTGCAGTATGGGGCTGATGGGCTACGTTTACTAAATTGCTGTTACATATTTTCAGAATTGCTATGTTCCTGGATGGAGGACATTCTAAACTTTTATTTGGTAGCCTCCTTCCAATAGTTAGCATAGTAACTGGGAAGGCAGAAAGTACTAGATTTCTTTTGTATGTACCTCCAGGTGTGTATCTATGCTTTCTAGATGGGGTGAAAACTCTTTTCATTGTAAGTTCTTACTGCACTTTTTAAAAACTCAGCTCGGATTAATTATCTGTACAGAGGAGAAGCAAATATATCTAGGGCCTGGGTAGGCAAACTAAGGCCCAAGGGCCGGATCTGGCCCAATCGCCTTCTCAATCCGGCCTGCGGACAGTCCGGGAATCAGCGTGTTTTTACATGAGTAGAATGTGTCCTTTTTCCAAAAATGCATCTCTGGGTTATTTGTGGGGCATAGGAATTTATTCATACTCCCCCCAGTATAGTCCAGCCCCCCATAAGGTCTGAGGGACAGTGGACCGGCCCCCTGCTGAAAAAGTTTGCTGACCCCTGATCTAGGGGTTATACATGCAAAATGTTCCTGTTTCCTTCGGAGGTATTGCAGTGCTTTTAAATGTGTGTGTGTCCTTATCTTCATTATTATGGTGGTAATTAGGCTGCCATGAATGCAAGGTTAAAACTTGCTCTAAAGAGAGAATGGTTTGCACCAATCACCAACTCTCCTTTTGAACAAGCTTGTTTAAGACAGAGTTTGTCTCAAAACAGTTTTGCTTCTTCCTCTGCATTTTCTTGATTGAGATCTTCACAGCACTTAAGGAGCATTCACATGATTGATTGCAGTGGCTGAGCAACATAAATATCTACTTGAAATGTCATTGTGTCTTAATGCAATATCAGCCTTTGCAGGGTTGGGGAATAATCATTCCCTGCAACGCACACATTGTCAAATGGATGAATTAATTAAACTGAAATCACAATGTTCCAAGAAAATATGTATATAAAAATACAAGCGTGTTAAGGAATTATAGTATAAAAATTACCTTGTTGTTTAATTGCTGCATATATTGCTGCATTGAATGAGTTCAGCGAGGTCTCCTCCTAGGGACCATATATCAGATCTGCTGTTTTGAGTAGTCCTCAGTCTATTGTGAAAAATATTTGTATTTCTAGCAATATCATTCACATTTTGGGGGGTCACTTTAGTTTTATTTAGGTTTGTTATACATCCCTGAGATAAGACTAAAGTCTTGAGGGGCACGTTATGGTTTAAAGAAATGCAGACTATTGCTTAAGCAAAAATAAATAAATTGGGAGACAGATTTCGCTAGAGCTGTACGGTGCAGTCGTGAAGAGTGAGACTATGAGTGTGACCTAGGAAGTCTGCCCCAGTTCCTGGTTTTGTGTGGCCTGGGGCCAAGAAGCTGTTGCGGGGGGGGGGCACCTCCTTCTCTGGGGTGCTTGACTCCAAACACACGCACAGCACAATTACTTCCTTCTCCTTTGCAGGTCTTGAAGCCTGTTTCAGGCAACTTTTTCTTTAAAAGATACCGAGATCCTACTGCTATTATTAGCTGTGTTTGAGAGGTGTTTTTTTTTTTTTTTAAGGGTTAGCTAGTTTTAAATATTTTAGCACATGATTCCTTGAGTATAAGTAGAGCTTCCCATGTAAGCTGATATTTGCTAGTAAAAGCCTGTCAAAAATTAATGTCAAGATTTATGGTCTGAAATGTTATCTGTCAGTTTGTAGCTGTTCATTTTTTGTTTTTTTTTATTTTGGCTGGTTCCCTCAAAGAAATAGGGCACAGCAGCTGGACAAAGACTGGGCTCTTCCTGGGTTCAGTGTTTATGCTCCAACCATCTCCCTTATGCAGTCAGTCAATAACTGCGCTGGCCAACTTTCTATTTTCTATCAATAAACATCGTGGTGCACAAAGAGCTCGATCCTATGATATCTTCTCTGAATAATAAAAGTGTCTTTTCCTAATGGCAACCATCAGCCCCGGGGCTTGTCGGAGAGCATCTCCAAATCCTGCAACAAAAGCATTTGCTGGAATGTGAAATCCCTACAGAGGGCAGATGCTGTAAGGCGTTTTCTTTTTTTTTTTAAAAAAAAGACACAGAAATTTTTACATTAGTTCCTAATCTGTGCAGCAAAGGAAGCTCTCTCTCTCTCCTCTCTCTCAAGCAAAACTGCAATTGTAGCAGTTTCTGTTTATAGACGGTTTTGATTCTCCATTTGGGAATTACTGGACAACAGAGAAAGAGAGATTTGGCTGCTGTGCAGTCATTAGGAGCTGCTGTTCCTTGAACAGACTTCCACTTATTCATCACATTTGGCACTGCACTGCTAAAATAACCCTGACCAGGAGTCTCATCTTCAAATTAGGGCACAGGCGGTGGGGGAAGGGGATGCATGCTGAACGGGCTGGCTAGGACAGGAGGAGGGACACAGCAGCCATTCCCCCCCCCCACTTCTGAATTGGCCTTTGGTCTGATCCAGCAGAGCTACTTGTGTGTTCCTAAAAAGTAAGAAACAAAAGGGGATGGGGATGCAGCTAGGCTCTTGCTTCTGCAATGGAACATAATGAGTGCCTGTCCCTGAGCTGCAAAAACATACTCTGCATTTAATGCCCCCCCCAATCCTGGGAATTGTAGCTCTGTGAGCGGTAAACAGTAGTTTACTCCTCACAGAGCTACAATTCCCAAACAACACCGCCTGTTTCTTTTCACAGAATGATTCGATATTTTAAATACCAGCCCCTCCTCCCCTTGTTAAAAAGCTTTTAAAACAATGCTTTGTGGACAAATGAATGTTTAGGTGTGCAATAATGCAGCGGTTGCTTTTTAAGCACATGCATGCTGTCTCTTCTCTCTTTAATGGTTAAACAGGCCAGCTCTTGCCCATTCAAAAATCTCTAAAAGGACTGGCTGTGGGCCAGCTCCAGATGTGAGCGAAACAAATCGTGTACAGCAACGGGTGGCTCTGGGTACAGGGATGTGCATCCAGTCATATCAATGAGGCCTGAATGAGCATTGTGAGATGGGCTGGGGAATGTGCCCACAGCTGTGCTGTGGCATCCAGATGTGCTGCTTGTGCAGATGGATTTCCCTCGCCAGATTGAGGTGTTCTTTACATTTTAAAACGTGTCTGGGGAATCAAACATTCTGAAAAGGATTACACATTTCAGAAAAGAAGTAGTAAAAGTCTTTCTCCAAAAGCTGTCTGGTTGGCTGGTGTTTTTGTTGGTCACAGGGCAAAAAATGTGCATGATGCCATCTTGTGGCCAAACGTTTCCACTTTTTATGCACCAGAATAGCCACAATCCAGCAACCAGTGAGGTCTTTCAGCCTAATCTGCAGCATAGCATTGTTTTGAAGATGATAAAAAAAGAGAAAAGATTGGTGCAGGAGGAAAGGGAAGTAGATCCATATGCTTCTTGGCAGAAAGGTAGGGCATCAAATGTAGTGAATAAAAAAAAAATGACAAATAATTTGGGGGCCCATTGATGTGATCAGACTGCATGGCCCAAAATCATTAGATGGTTTAATCTTACTGCAGTACTGTACTGAGTTTATTAACATGAAAGGCCTAGGAAAACAGTAATTCTGTAACTACTTAAATTTTGCTGATCGCCTTGAAATGATGTTTTTTAGGATGCATATTCTGACATTGTTTTGGGCATGGCTTGCTGTTGGAGTAGCAAATACCTGGAAACCCATGTTGTGGCCTAATCGAGGTGAGATTCCACTGCGTTTTTTTCTTGAGAATAAGTTATTGATACTGTAATGGCAGGGTTTTTTTTTGCTTTGTTTTTAACAATAATGTGCTTAGTAATTATTTTTGTTAAGCCCTGCAATTGAGACAATGAAGATTTGATTTGGGGTTGTTATCCGACAGCGTGCTGTCAGGCTGGTCAATATTTTGTGTGTGTAGCGCACTGATTGACTCATGATGTGAGATAATGTTCTCTTTTATCTTAGCCTTACTGGTCCTTGGTAAATCCAGGTTACTCAAGCGTCAGTTTGACTGCCTGTACATACTTGTGTAATATTTACCATGTTATTTCAGAGCCTTTGATGGAAGGCATTGTGTAAGAACAAAGCCTCGTTTGTTTCTTAAAAGACTAGATCCACACTCACATGGTGCTGCGTAGCAGACAGGGAATCCTGCCATTTGCCTTTGGGAATGCTCTGAGGATCCCCTTGTACCCAGTAAAGGGTACGACCCGCATTACAGCTTGCATGTAGCTCTTTGTAAACTTAGCCAGCTAAGCTTTAAAACAAATTAGATCCCCCTTTCCATTATTAAAGGAGGATCATTCTAATGCCTCTGAAAGCATGAAAATCTCTTCTTCAACCTGAAGTTATCAATGGAGGTCAGCTTCTTATCTGTTGACTTCCATCAAAGAATACCAAGTACAGTATCTCCCCACAACTGTCAACACCAGAATAAGTTATGCGAAGTAATTCTATGGAATCTATGGATTATGCAAATATGTGTGAATTGTGTTGCAGAATGTTTATAGGTTGCAGAATTTCACTTTTCTAGTCATAAAATTGAAGCTATCTTTGGGCTAGAGGTTTTATCTTTCGTTTTCAATGCACACAGATCTCTCCAGCCCCATTCCTCCATCTATGAAGATGACTATATGTAAACAAACTTCTCTCTCCCGATAAACTGCGACCTTGCCTTTCTTTCATCTGACTCTCGGCATGGGGACCGAGCTGTCCCCAGACTGCTGCTGCTGAGAGGTTAAAAGGGCTGAATACAGAAATCCCTTGGGTGATAAAAAAAACTGTTTACAAATGTATTAAACATAAAAGGAAACAGATAGTAACATTTTTTATTAAATATTACAGTGGATCAAAAAGTACAAAATATCTTTGCTTGCTATGTGATTGGGAAACTATTGGCACATAATACAGTATCAAAAGCATTAATACATACAATTTGGAAAACATACAAAAATTGAGTGTTTATAGTTGGCTCAGCTTTTTTTTCTTTCTTTCTTTCTGGTAGTGTTTAAACTTATTTAATTTGAAAGGTTACTCAGTAACCCTTTTATTCTTTTAAAAAATGGGAAAACTATATAATATTACTGGGCCATTTTTTTTCTATATACAAATAATCACCTTACAGAGCATATAAGCTACAATAACTTGAATCACAAGAATGTATACACTATTTACAACAAAAGAACGCTCAAAACAAAGTATAAACAGCTAGTAGATTATGCTGCCTTTGTTAGACCATATTTAAAACTATGGGAGGGGAGGAATACATGTAAAATATCAAATACATTTACAGCTAACACCGGTTAAGTGCTCAATAATGATAGTTTCAATACTGCAGACCTCATTATCAGTGAAATATTTTCCCACTATAAGCATTACGGATTGTGAAATGGGGCCAGGCTTGACTACGCTCATTGCTGTACAATCGGATCACATGGAATAACGAGTGAGTAGAAGCCAACCTCTCCCTTTAAAGGCACACACCACACAACCTATTTCTGTGGCCATCTACTGGCTTCTGTGAGCCACACAACAGATAGGACAGAGCTTGAACATATGGGGACTAGTCAAGAAAACAGTGAGACAGAAGTGACTTTGGCTCTGTTTAACTCTTGCACGGCTGCTGCCTCTCTGGTTGCTCCTGTGCCACCCCCAGTTAGGGCTGCTTACACAATTAGGCATCACCCGAGAGACATTTCCCTGAGTGGCGGAGGAACAACTACACTATCACACCATTCCAGCTAACGTGTAAAATGGGGCCAAAATTACTCTCAGCTTTTCTTGAAGCAGAAGTTACCTGGAGTGGAATAACCATGGAAACAGTAACAATCCCATTACTCCAGGTACTATATTAAACAGGGCTCAAGTCACAGGTTTCATTGGCTTGCGGCCTGCGTGCTTAAGGATTCATGGAGCAGTTCAATAAGCCAGGAACACTTCTTAGCTTTATGTTGGGCTTCAGATGGAATTGGGAAACTCTTCTGATTACTAAAGTGAGAATCCGGTTGCAAAAGGCCTCACCCAACACAAACCCCTCCCCATGTCAATGGCTTCTAAAAAGACAATTCTATCATGGGGAGGGAAAGGTTTTCTTTGTCTTTAATCTCATCAACCTTCAGAATCTTTAATGAATCCTGAACAGAGTGAGTTGGAATTGCAACATTTCTTGGGACCAACTCATGGTAAATAGATTTATCACTCTGTTGCCAATTAAACTGTTTTCTTTACCAATCTACCAATAACAAAAAAACTTGTGCAATTTCATTCAATAAGGCCCCTTGAACTCAAACAAAGCAAACAAAGCCCCATTTAAGTCACAGAAAGTAGTCTTCTGCCAGTGGAAAATGCAATACTTAATAGAAATCATGGATTTTTAAAAAGCATTCTTAGGCAACCCACCCCACCAATGGTATGAGCTATGTCCTCATTGCTCTTCATTTACCCTCATCTTGGCCAATGCATCATGAGCTTTCTAAAAATAAGCCAGTCTTCCTATTGAAAAAAGCAAGAGGAACAACAACAACAAAAAAAGGGGGGGATCAATTAACCCTGCACTGTGATCTTTTAGAACAGTCCGAACAACTTTCAAAACGATGCATGAAACTGAAATTGGAGACTTACAAAATAAGCACACGAGGTTAAGATTTAACAGTATGGTTATCAAATCAAACTTTCAAAAATGAGTCATCCTAGGGTTGTGGGATTTGGAATAAATGGACAGTCAAGTACCCTCATATGCACGCATAGCTCCTGTGCAGGAGGGCAGCCCCATTCCTTTCAAGAGGGTGGGGAGCTAAGTATGTGCCAAAGGATTTGTGCACAGTGCGACCCTCTCTACTGGAGGGAAAGGGGCAGGATAGGGGCGTACCACTGTAAGCAATGTGGAGCTACCTCTGCATGCAGTAAATGACTTGCTAAGGGTGTGCTGTTCCAAAACGAGGGACAATCCTTTTAAAACAAGGGACATCCCTTACTGTAAGGGGGATCAGGCAACCCTACATGCAGATTATCCCAAACAAATCAGAGATGCATTACATCCTGGATTACCAAACCAGGCACATAATTCTAACAGTCATTGCAGGCTTATACAACCCTGCCAACTTCCCTTCCCCCTCCCCACCTTGATTATTATATTAGTCAGGTTTAGTGCAATTTTTTTTATATACTAATAATGCCCTCTATGGCATCTGATCAACTTAGAATGTGATTGCTGTTTTTTTCGAATGCTCCGAGCACAGCAGGAAAAAGAAAAGCAAAAGTCGGCGTTGGCACATTTATCTTCTAAAGTCTACTAGCCTGCTTATGCATCATCAGTTCATATAATTTTACCACAAGAACATAAAAGCGTTAAATTGAAGATAACATCGATCTTTAACAGTAGATGTCTATTATTTTGTTGTTTTTTTTCCACCATTGTATATTAAATAGGTTACATTATATATTGCAGTTGGCTTCATATCACAGGAAATTTCAATATAGGATGTTTGGCATGCATGCACGATGTTGCTTAAGTAGTTTCCACTAGTTTCCAGTAGTTTTGATTATTACTGTATTTGAATTGCAATCTGGGATGGGTTCAGCTCACAACCGATTTTCACATTGTAAAATGCCTCAAAAAGTTCAGCCTCTCTGGGTGGCTGTCCATACTTCCAGACCCAGCACAGAAAGGTTCCTCCAAATAAATCCACATCGTTGTAGGGTGATTTCCCCCATGGACAAAACCCAATCCCACCAGCTTCACTTACGGACTTGTCACTCTTCAAATTACACCTTGTGACTGGGGTGGGGGGCTGCATTTTAGCTTCATGGGGAGGACCTGCCCCACCACCAACTCAAGCTGATCGCTGTTGAGCCAAGTGCTCAGTGGGCTGCCGTGGCCATTATGTGTGGCCAGCGATGATGCCAGAGAGGTATGGGGCAGCCTCAACAGATTTGGCTGCCTTTGATGCTTCCTGAATGGGAGGTGGAAACTCAGCAAATCCATGAGAGACACTGGAACCAAAATGAGTGGACGCTGGCATTGTTTCTTGGATTTGAACAAAGCCAGCTTCACGGCAGCACCTGACATTTCCTCCCTCTGGTGGGAAACATCACTTGTGCTGGTACACGGTGTCAGAGAGGAATATGAGATGGGGGCAGAGGGCACGGTCCTTGGGGCTTCCTACCTTAGCACCAGCTTTCAAGTGTTCTGATTGCACACATTGGGTGCTTGCTCTCTACACCAAGGTTCTGTCCCTGCGTGAACAGCAATGGAAGCTTCAGCAAAGGCCTCCCAGAAAGCCCTCAGCTGCTCACTCAAAGCCGCTGACAAAGGGCTCTTCGAACGCCTTTCCCTCCCAAGAGGAACAGCAATACAGGCTGAACGAAACCTTCCCTTTTGCACGCCAAGGCCAAAGCAAATGAGAGTGAGCAGCCAGCTGCAGTCTATAAGGGTAGGACTCTTACTCTTGCTGTTCCCATGGGTGTGTAAGGGGTGTGTGCATGCACTAAAAGGGCCCTTGACTGCTCCTCTAAGGCCTCCAAGCTTGCACAGTAGCAAGTCAGTGGGTGGAGCCATGCCTGCCAGCTCTTTGAGCCTTTCCTCACATCAAAATATATCCCCTTTTATACTTCAGCTGCTGCCCTTTGTGCTGCAGTCCTGACCCTGCAATGATCTGAGCACCCTAGCCCATTCCAGCAAAATATCTCAAGGCAATTTTTAGCTTTCAGCAGGAAGACTCTCGTGAGAGTCAACAGGGTACTCTGGCTCAGGCTTCAGAAATGCCACTGGCATGGAACTTTTGTTCAATAGGACCAGAGAGTCAAAGTCAAGTAAAACCGGGCTTAAGTGGTTTGTAGATTAAGCTGCCATTTTTGTTTTGAGTCCAAGCCACATGGTCAGAATACTTTGCTGGAAGAAGGTGGGATGTTCAGCACTTTGTAGGAGGACTCCACCAAGCAAGAGTTCAACCAGTTCATAGCCCAAAGGTGACCCTCAAAAGACTGACTTCCAGATTTGGAACGGCTCCTTGCTATTATCTTTCTCAGAACGTTTATACGTTCTCACCCATCTCACTTCAGCAGCACAGAATCCAGACCACCTTTAACTAAAATCTTCACCTTCTTTCTCTCCTAACGGCTGAAATTCTTGAAATAGCTTAACAGCCCACAATAAAGGTTCTTTAGAACTCCAATGTTATTGAGTAACTTGTTGCCAGCACAGTCTCCTAAGCATGTTTCCTTTCTGGTATGCAGGACAGTTTCACAGCCTAGATAAGGTTAAGTACAATTCTTAACAAATTCACAGACCATGATACAGGAAAACCAGATCCCAGTGGCCAGTAAAACAGCAAAGTATGAACAATTAGAGAACCATTTTGATGGGTGAGGGGAACGCTCAGCACCTTTGAAGGATCTAGTCGCTTGAGAAGGAACTGATGTTTGGACTCAGCTGCAATTGTGTGATCTACAGTATGCTTCTCTCTCCATTGGAAAGGTTCATTGAAAATGGATGCTTTTGTTTTGTAAACAATGACATTACCACCCAAAAAGCTGCTCTAAAAACATAAGCAGAAAGGGGGAAAGGAAGGGGAAAAATATAAACACACTTAAAAAAGAAGCCCTCAATAACCAGCGCCTTTTTTTCTTTTACCAAAAAGAGGTTGCAAATGAAAAGAGACTGTTCTTTTAAATTAAACAGAGCACAGGATAAGTTGAAAATAACTTGCATAAATTATACAAATGAACTTGACGCTGGAGATTCTTTTGTTTTGTTTCTGAAGCAGATATGTAAAGTCTAATTGGACAGTGTTTACTTTTCCTGTTTTGATAGTGTTAAGATGAAATGCTATGAAGTTTCTGCTATACATTGCATTGATTTGAAATCTGAAAAGTCAGAAAACAAAATGGTACCCAAAGAAGCAATATCCGTAGATCATTTGCTTGTTCCACTTTCTCTCTCATCAGACCTGCCTCTTTTTCTACTTGAAATGCTCCAAAACCCACTCTTTTTTAGGGGGGGGGACACAAACAAACAAACACCTTTTTTCTCCTCCAAGATAAGGGGGGTGCAGCCTAATGTTCCCCCTGCTCTTCTCTGACACTTGTTTTCCGCATGATACAGATACTTTTGCGAACCTTCTTTGCAATGTGAAATGACCACGGAGGAGTAGATGCAGGAGCCCAAAGTAAAAAAACAAAGCCCAGGCAAATCGACTGTCTTGCTTGACCCTCGATCAACTCTGAAGCCTTCAGCAATGAGGGACAAAACTGCTTATTGGTTAACACAAATAATCGGCTTTTTGTTTAAATTTTGCAAGACATCACAGGCTAAAAGGAATGTAGTTGTTTGTTGTTGTTTTCCAAGGGAGGATTTACAGTTTTGTGCTCGGATGTACAGAAGACAACTGAGAAGGCGGGAAAGCAGCCTGAGGATTGATAGCAGCCAAAGGATAAATGTTGTTGTGCAAAAGGTCGCCATATGAACTTCCTACAGGTGTGGCTGCAGCTAAGTGCCTGTAAAGCTGCTGTGAGTTTCCAGGGGACGTAAGGAACTGTCTTTGCACCATGAACGAGTGGAGAGCCAAAGGCTGCATTAGCGGAGAAAGCACTGCCTGATTTTTCAAGTATTGTAGAGGATGAGAATACCCAGCTGGGATGCGGTTGCTCAGGCTGCTGCACAATGTCCCTGGGTACAAGCCTGTGAAGATGGGGCTGGAGAGGGGAAACTTGTGGCCCTCCAGCATGCCGCCGGGCGGGAGGACGTGTGCTGATTTGCTGCCCTCGGTCTCTTGCTCAAGACCCTTGTCTTTTGCAGGGGCTTCCTTTGGTAAGCGCAGGGGCGAGACGGCTCGGATCTTCTTTTCCGAAATGGCTTTGTCCAAATCCTCCAGGCTGCGCTTCAGAGGCCGAGCTGCCCCAATGGTTTGAGCATTGGTTTTGTGGCTTAGGATGGGGTGGACCATGCCCTCCATCTTCCTTGGGGTCTGCTGTTTGTTGGTCCTGAGAAGAGGCTCGCCGTGCTTCTTGGGGGCCGACACCGTCATTGGAGAAACACGACAAGCTTTGGGGTTGCAGTCTATGCTCAGAGGCTGGCCGCTCAAGGCTTGGAACTGGGATATGCTTTTGCTCTCCGCCGAAGCATGCAAGAGGGAAGATGACCCCAGAGCTTTTGCAGTCTGTTTGGGAGTACTTTTAGGAAGACTCAGATCTGTCGGCTGATCATCAGAAGAGGCTTCCATGGGGCTCTTTTTCTCCGGCTGATGTAGAGGCGGGTGATAGCTTAAGCTTCGCTTGTCTTGGTGCTTGTGTTGAGGGAACATGGAAAGGGCTTCCGTATCTCTATACATGTCTCGGTGGAGGTACTTTGACGTCTGTTCATTATTAAGGTGGTGTTCGGTGTGCCTGTAAAGGCTGTGCAGGTGAGGAGATGAGTAAAAGTCTGCCAAGAAAGCAGGCATGTGGGAGTGGTGCAGCGCCCTTTTTTCATTCATTCTATCTTTCATGTCCTGGATTTCCGACTTTAGTGCATAGGATTCGGCCAGAGCACTCAGGTGTTGTTTGGTGAAATCGCAACATTCAGAATCAGTTTTCTTGAGTAGCAGTTCGTGCCTGTAGGTTTCACTAGCAGACTTCCTCTCGTCCGAGTTCTTGGGTTTGAAACTCTGTACGTGTTGGATCACAGATGGCCTGCTGAGTGCCGCAGCATCCATCCCAGAGGCATGGGAAGCCTGTGGCATGCTTGACAACAGGTCCTCTTTGCTGCTTAATTTCTTCTTGCTGATCAAAGGTGGTGGTGAGCCGTAAGGGTAGCTGCAGGAGAGGGTTGCCCCACTGACTTGTGACAAGAGCTTCTTCTTTGCCAGAGGTGACATGATGCCCGGGTTGCCTTTGGAGTAGAGCAGTGGTGTGCAGCTGAAACCAGGCTCACCATTAAGGGAGCTCGGCACTTCTTTCTCTTTGAACATGTCAAAATTCTGTACTACAAGGACTTTGGGACTCTGTTTCAGTGCATTGTGTATGTCCTCATTTCCTAACTGATCCACTTTAACCGTGCAGTTGGCAATGTAGTCCGCCATCTCTGGGAGTTTGTCGTCTTCCATCTCACTTTGACTTGGAAGTGGGAGTTGGATAGTGGGGAAGTTATTAAATGGAATTTCTTGGGCACTACTTTCTAGGTCGTCTGTGAGACAGTGAACTCTTTGTTCCTGCTTTGGCTCATCTGGATCCTCTGACAGACTGGGGATTTTCCCGACTGTGGAATTCAAGACCTCATCTTCTTCTGGGGACACCAAAGCACTTGAGACAGAATCTTTGCATGACATCTCCTCCTTGACTTCCTCACAGTTTGAGCTGACCTCTTCAAAGTCTGTCTTTTCCAATGATGGCATCCCAGTTACATCTAGTGGAGAAACCTGGGACTCTTCTACAGGCAGCTTCATCTCCTCTACGACGGTTAGCTCAGATGAGCTTTTCTGGTCTGGACATTCTTGAACTTTCTCTTGTTCCGATGATGCCTAATAAAACATTTTAATGGAGAAGTGTAAGAAAGCACTGTAGCATGAAAGGCATGAAATTCTCAACCAAGACATAGTGGCATCTCTCAGAAACAAACTTGTCCATCATGTTGAGCACCAAACGCTTTAATAGCCACTATCACATTTCAACACAGACATCTACCCTGGAAGTATTGTAAACATAAAAGTATAATTACAAATGTCTTAATAAGTCATAGGCGATTCTTTGTTTTATTTTGTTACCAGGCAGCATAAAATAGGCTCCACTGATATGCTGACCAGGCAGCGTTTATGCTGAGGCCATTTTTTAGTTAAGAGGACCACCGCTGTGTTGACAATGGCATTTAGAAAGATCTAAGATTTGTTTTCCATATTTAAAACACGCACTCCCAAGCATGCTTGACTTGACTTTTATTTATTATTTATTAAAAAGTATTTCTAAGCTACTTAGGATTTAAAAATGGTGCATTCACAAAGTATAAACCAACATGAACACTGTAAAACAACATCATAAAAACAGAGATAACAAATAGATCTCTCTTATTTTAGACCTGATCTCTTGGCACTACTAAAACCAGTGCTTACCAAATGAATCCCCCCCCCATTAAAATATATAAAATGAAGTCTGTGGGTGGGCGGGAAGCAAAGCTTCGCTGACGCGTTCTGAAACAATTGGCGTTGTGGCTCATTCGGGCTTCTTTTATTTAGAGATTAGAATAAAGTTGTCAACATGCAGCAAGAGCATTTTTGCCCTCTTCCAGATATAGCTTTCCTGAGTTATAGCCAATGAGGCTCCATCTCTTTATGCTCCTTCATTAATAAAGCTTGTGCACTCAGTTCTCCCTATTCATTCCATTATGTAGACGAATGAACTGTGACCTTGAAGGTCATTAGAGTGCTCCATCTGTGATACAGCTGACTGACAACCCTTTTCAAAATTACTGTCATTCTCTTGCGGCATGCCTCTTAGTAGAAGGCAGTCATAAAGCAGCGACGTTGTCTGAGCTCTTCTATTATTATTGTTAACACCCCCCACCCCACCCGCTTCTCTCTTTCTCAGCTGTAAAGAGGAGGCATTGGGAAAGTTATTATCTAAATGCTGCATTAGAGGGCGTCGTGTGAGAGATGGATGCAAGGCAGCCAATGCATCACAATCTTCTCCAAGATTTACGTCTTTGCAGCTGCTTTTAAATTTTCCTATGTGTTGGGTTTTTCTATTTCCTATTAGTTAAAGTGTCCGTTACTCATTGTGACTGCTTCCATAATTTTTTCCGCAAAGAAACTCAAAGTAAAAGATGCCTTTTGCAGTCCAAATATCATCATTAGCCCTTTTGCGAAAATTCTAACATTGGCCTCCAGAGCTTATACAATTACAGGAAAATACCAGACAGATGAGCAAAGCAGACGGAGAAAAACTGATAGTTAATAACTGGATCTTTCTCTCTCTCCCTGGTTGGGCAACACTTTGATAGGAGCTTGCAGTTGTGCTAGAGCAGCATGTACGAGAGGAATAATAATATTTCATCTTGTACTCAGTTACAGCCATCATAACAAAACAGAGTCAAATGTAATGCTAAACTGAACTGTAACCAATTAACAGCGTGCTCACACAAACAGTTATGAGTCATTACAAGATAGCTTTCTCCCCCATTGTTCACACTGAAAAACATTTCTTGAAAAATATTTGAAAGTGCATATTTCTCAGGATGTGTCAAGTTAAAAATCTTACCACTTGGAGTACTTTTACAGGATTATTTTAAATGGGAACTATTCACATATTTGCAGAAACATGAAGCCTGAAGGCAGATCATAATCAAGAGAGATGTATGGTTATTATTTCAACATGCACAGTGGGTTCTTTTGACTGTTTTCAGCCTAATAAAAACTTCACGCACAGCACTGAAAACTGATTTCAAAACCTAGGGCAGTTAAGATGGATAAGTTACCATTTCATAGATTGATGGGCCGGGGCATGGCATTTTGGGTTACTTGAAATGACTGGTGGCCACTGTGGATGGGGGCTCAGCTTACATTTGCCACCTCTGAAAACCACCTGAGGAGGGCGTTGCAGGGAAGCTGCTTCATGGCGGTGTGGCTGGTGAGAGGCCCTTCAGCCAGTCCACAACCTGGTTGGTTACTGGTGCCAGGCCTGGGATTGCCGCCTGCTAAGTTTTAAAACAGCCTTAGCGATTCAGGCTTTCACAAGACACAAAAGCTATTACTACGTACAGGTAGTCCAGCTTCCTGGTAAACTGGTATGCTGAAGCTGGTTAGATAGGGCAGAGCTGCAGGATGTTGGATGTATGCATCACAAATTCACACAAACACACACAAATGGTAGGACTGCAATGATCAGCCAGTAGCTTAGATCAGGCATGTCCAATTCCCAAGAGACTGTGATCTACTCCCAGTATAAAAAAAATCTGGCAGTGATCCACCCATTGTCACTGGAGGGAGAGGAGCGTCCGTGGGGTGGGTGGATTGCCCAGAGTTGTTGAGCGCTTTTTGGGAGGACAATTGCACAGAGTTTTTTAGCTTTTCCCCTGTAACTTTTTGTGCACGATAAGGATCCCGCGATCTACCAGGATCAGCCAGGGATCTACCAGTAGATCACAATCTACTGGTTGGACACCCCTGGCTTAGACGAAGTGGCCAAAAATGTGTCCCTGGCTAATCAGAAAAGGCAGTTTTTATTACGCTAATAATTAATCAATTGAATTTTCATAAATTTGTTATGTTTCTGAAGAAACATAGAATACTATTCTTCCCCTTAGATGATACATGCATGTTTGTATGCAGCAGGGCATCATCTTATAAGAGGCATTCCATATGAGTGAGAAGGGGGGATTGTTTCTTCCGAGCTGACAGTTTGTTCAACTAGTTGATTAAGATTTCTTTAATAAGGTGATCGCCTAAAGAACTCGTTGTTTGAGTAGAGCCTGGGACCAGTGGTATATTGGGATGTATACTGGGGGAAGGGATGCAAGGTGCCTGCGCTTCAACTTTCTGCATATCATATGGGTGGAAGGGCTTGAGAAAGATTGTGTGTAGGGGGGAAGGAAGTGGGAACCAGCAAGTGCAATAGTTGTTTCAAAGTGTCAGTATGATTAATAGGCATCTTGAGGCCAAAGATTTTCAGAGTGTGCCTATAAGTAGTTGCAACTAAGGCCTTGTCCACACTGGAGAAACATGCGGATTTTCCTGTCTCCCCATTAAGGTAAAGGTAAAGGGACCCCTGACCATTAGGTCGGGGACCAAATGACATCCTCCCCATCCCAGTGTTGCCTCTAACATTTCCCCCTTTGAATGCAGGGCTTTTCAGTCCCCGGAAAGTCCAAAATGGCCAAGATGGGGGAAACCCGCATTTGAAGTGGGGGGAAAGGTGTGATTCCACATTTGCCCCAGTGTGGGCAAGTCCTAAGTCCCGGTGAAAGCAATAAGTGGATTGTGACTAACTTAAGTCTCAGGGATTGCCATGAGATTGCTTGCACTTAATTTGTGTGGGTTTTGTGCCCACTCTCTTTAATAACTTTCCATATTACCCCAACCAACATTAGCTACAAAACACCTGCAAATGCCACTACTCCCCTCTCTCTGGGTTACAAATTAGTTGGCTTACCAGTCCCCTGCCCCAAATCCCAAAATAATATTGCACCCAACAAACAAATATTTCTTATTTAAAAGATTTATACCCGCTTTTCCCCACCACAAAGGAGTCGCTCTAAACAGCTTACAAATAAACTGCAAACATAAACACAGCAATGATCCAATTCAGTTCCCCAACCTGAGGCACAACAAAAGTGGAATAGTTTTTACATGGTGCTTTCATATGTGAGGGAAAGAGGAATTATATTTTTCAAACTTATGAAAAATGATTTGCTTAAAAGCCTTCTGAGGTCCCTCATACATTTGTGAGAATTTGATATCAAGAACATCCAACATTACTGACTGACGGGAGAAAAGAATTACACTGCTATGTTCTTGCAGTCGGAAGCTCACATAATTGCATTTTGTGTTGTGCACTTTCTACTCTCCATCTGAGAACTTGACCTGCGACTCACATAAAAAATAACTGCAGTTTAAGTCGCAGGAAATTTGAGATACTAAACAACAAAAGCAAGGAAGTTCAAAGTTTAGATTGACACTCCATCGCTGGCTTGTTACGTTGTGCTTAGCTTCTATTGCAGCACATATGGTATGTAACATAACTCGCTGATCCAAGCTCCCTGCAATAAATAACAAGGCACAAAGGGATGAACAAGGAATGGAATGCTAGACTTAACTTGTATTTCCTTGCTTTTGGCAATTTCTGTTGCAATCTAGCAGTTGCTTAAACAGAGACTGCATGCCCTCTTTTATGTATATTTTAATAAAGATTGTGCCTTTTCAAAATATGTCTCAGTTTACAATTAATTTTTTTTAAAGGAGCAGGGGTGGGTGAGGGAAACTCTCCAAAGACGCTATTGCAAAGACTGTGGTCGTATAAAAAATATATTCTAACCCAGGCTTTGGAGGTCAAGTCCATGGAAATAACAGAAAAGGAGAACCAATATTAAAGATGCTAAAGAGTTTTGGCCCAAACAGGCCTTCTTCCAAAGTGGCTTTTCTACAAAAAAATAGGACAACAATGAGCAAGTCTTGCTTAAAACATAACTCAGTTCCCTCATGATCACCTTCCTTAAAGAAAACTCTAAACAATTTTTATTTTGCCATGTGATTGGTTAAGGTAGAAATATCCCTGAGTAAGGCCTATTTGGGCCCAGATACACCGGACAATAATAAAAAGCGCATTACTCTCAAGCGTCTTTGAGCCTGGTTCTCCTCTTGTCATTTCCATTGGATACGTGTGGAAGGCGTGGGAAGCTGTAAGACATTACCAGCCACATGGCGCACCCCCCCCCAACCGCCCATGTACCACATGTACTGACGACCTTTCCAGAGGTGGCATCTCTGTCATCGCTTCCATGCCCTCCATAATCACACAAGTCATATCACCATCAGTTATACTTCAGTCCTTCTGGGTAAACTAAGGACCTTTCCCCCTACATTATATCTTAACGTTAAGATGTTTGAAATGAATAAAGTATGTACAGTGGTACCTCAGATTAAGTACAGTGGTACCTCGGGTTAAGTATTTAATTCGTTCCAGAGGTCTGTTCTTAACCTGAAACTGTTCTTAACCTTAAGCACCACTAATGAGGCCTCCTGCTGCCGCCGGGCCGCCGGAGCACGATTTCTGTTTTCATCCTGAAGCAAAGTTCTTAACCCAAGGTACTATTTCTGGGTTAGCAGGGTCTGTAACCTGAAGCGTATGTAACCTGAAGCGTATGTAACCTGAGGTACCACTGTACGTATAACTTCAGAATTCTTAGCTGCATATTACGAGAGACCTGGGGAATACCAACCCGGGTTCTGCAGAAAGGGGACTTCTGAGCCCGCGACTTTTACACAGACACATAATGGATTCTGTGCACATTGGAACACATAGGTATACATTCTTGTGTCTTTTTAGGCCCTGAAGACGCCATGTCAGTAAAAAGTGACATATGGCCTGGCCCCGAAAGAGGATTTGTTTGCGTGAGCCCTGGTTCAAAAGATGATTTCTGGACATTATACGATCAAAGCAGCACCTGCAGAATGAAAAAGTTAATGAAAAGAAGAAAGCGGGGAAAGGAAACTAACCTCGGGTGCATCCTGGGGTTTCTGTGCATTGTCTTTTTCTTTCTTGCTCTTTTGGTGTTCATTTCGGATGCGTTTTGTTCCAGACAATTTTATCTTACTTTCCCCCTCCTGGGCGACATTATCTTGTTTTCGAGGTTTCACAGGAGGCAGTGGCTTATCTTCTTCTCCTTTAATAAATCTCTCATACGGCAGGATTAATCTAAAGAACAAATAATTGATCAGTTCTAGAAGTTCTCACCCAAAAACCAAAATAAAATAAAAGAAATGGCTGTAAGAAGTTCATTGTTAAAAACTGTTTTTTGAAAGAAAGAAAAAACCACTCAAAACTAGAAGTCAAAGATGTGCAGTAGGATTTGGAAGCTGTTTCTTCTTCTCAAACTGCTGCTGAATCAAATAATTTCCTCTGTCTTTCACACATTTTGCAATCACAAAGCTGAGTTTGCCAACCTCTCAGATGATACACACTTTCCTAAACATCTGTAATATTCACACTTTACATGTTTAGGTATACAATGTGTCTTTATGTGTAAAAATGGGATGGTTCTGATCCACTTCAATTTATTTGTGACCAAGTCCTATTGAAACTTACAGGTTAGCTGATACTAAATTAAGTCACATAAATTCAATTTAGTCTGCACTCCAATTCACACTTTCCTGGAAGTCGGTCTCATTAAAGTTACTTCTGAGTACACACCTAAAGGATTGCAGTGTTAGCCATAAGTAACTTTAGCTGGATCAGGTCCAACAAGTGACAACAAGCAGAACATTTTTTTAAAAATCCATTGAGATAAATGAGATTATGAAGCCAAATGGAATCGCTGGAGATGAGCTACATATCTCCCCCACTACAGTGGTACCTCGCAAGACGAATGCCTCGCAAGACGAAAAACTCGCAAGACGAAAGGGTTTTTGGTTTTTTGAGTTGCTTCGCAAGACAATTTTCCCTATGGGCTTGCTTCGCAAGACGAAAACGTCTTGCAAGTTTGTTTCCTTTTTCTTAAAACCGTTAAATACAGTTGCGACTTGACTTCGAGGAGCAACTCATAGCACACGGTGTGGTAGCCTTTTTTGAGGTTTTTGAAGACTTTGGTGATTTTTGAAGCTTTTCCAAAACTTTTCCGAAACCGTGCTTCGCAAGACGAAAAATCGCAAGACGAAAAACTCGCGGAACGAATTAATTTCGTCTTGCGAGGCACCACTGTACTTTAAATTGATCTTAATGGAAATACTTTGTATTTAGTTCTTTGGCCTGTTTAAACAGCAACCGACTTGAGTTACAGAACTTCCCGACAGCAGTGCCATATATACCCTGAAAGTACAGAAGTACAGAAAATAGCAAATAATCCCAACTGGAACCTCAGGGTGGATTGCGGTGTGAACAGGTCTTAAGGAACCTCACATGGGTCAGTTCAGGTCTTGGGTCTGAAGTCCTTAAATCTGCCTCCAAAACAGTGCAGACTAGACATGCTAGCTCCCTTCCAACCATTGTCTCTAGATGCCTCTTGCCTTCTCTTCTCTGCAATCCCCAGAGGGCTTTCCCATAACTATTTGGATTCTCAGAGCTACCTGCGTAAATCAGAAGCTGGAGGAGCAGAGTGCAATGGGAAGGGGTGAAGACAAAACTCAGCCCAGCAGGCTTGCACATATAATCCCAGAAGCTGGGGAGGAGGGATGTGGCCCCTCCACCACCAAATATCAGCATATTCTGGACTGTATCATCTTGTATCCTCTATCCTGTGGGCTAGATATGGTTCCATCAGAAGATGGAGCAGTCTTCTCCAACCTGTTTTGCCCTCCGTATGTTGTTGGACTACAGCTCTTATCATGCCCTGTGGCTGATGGGAACTGTAGTCCAACTGGTATAGAAACCTTGTACTAGCATAGATTTCCTCTTCTTTTTTAGGAATCTGGGGGAATGTCATAAGGGCCCATTTTGTGAGCAAGAAGATTCCTCTTTCTCTAGGGAAAGGGGGAAAAGGGCAAGCAGTGTCTACCAGGTGGTAGTTGGCACAGTGGGCAGGAACAAAAACGATTTTAAGAGACAATTAGAGAATTTTAATTACAGAGTTTTGTCTTTCAAACCATGGAAAAATTGCTTGGGGGAGGAGACAGAGATGCTTCAATCTGATTCCCCCCCCCCTCCACAGAGTGCCTCTTGAAATGAGGGTAAATAAGCAGTGTTATTAAAAAGAATGGATTGGCTTACAATCTGAGTTTCAGCTCCAGTGATTAAAGTTCTTATAATGCATTAAACATGATTAATGAATGACTCATAGCAGGAATAATGCAAGACTCTGACTTTTAAAAATATGAACTTTAGTATGGCAAACATATATTTTTTTAAAAAAACCCCACAATAGGTATCTGTTGAAGAAAATGGACGTTGCTTTTTAAACAGCATTAATCTGTTCAAATATCAGACTTCTTTAATTATAGCTTAATCTAAGAGTTCAAGATAGAAAACTCTTTTTGTTCAGGCACAGATTTTTTTGTTATTCCAGAATCAGCTCCAAGCCACCCAGTTTTAATTTAGATGTTCAAACACAGTTTGGCTTCAAGAGAGCCGGGATTAGCTTGCTTGCGATGATAGTATTTCACATTTTAATAAAATACAACATAAATTATGTTAAAAAGTAAACCTAATTTATGCCATATTAGAAACAAAATTCATGAACTGAGCATGCTCTGACATGGGTATGTGCAGAGAGGCGTGAATAATACTTTTGAGCCCTGAATTTGGCAGCTGGCCAGTAATGAAGCTAAAGCAATGCCCAAGGGGAATGCAGGTCCTCAGATCCCATTACAAACTGAGTTTAAACATGTTACAGCTGCTAAAACTGAAAACAGCTCTCTCTATGCAGGCTTAGCAAAATAATACGGACTTTGCCAAATACTTGCTTCCCACTGTAACATTATGGTTAATGTTTATGTAATAAAAAAAGGAGCATAACAAGGCAGAATAAAAAAAGGGGGGGAGAGAAAGAAATACAATCTTGTTCATACTTGAGGCTGCTAAATTTCATTTGTAACAAGCACAAAATATTCCAAGGCACCCTTGAACATCTTTTCCCGTGCCTGGGACTTGAAGCAAGAGGAGGCGAGGTTGGGTTTCATCCAGAGCAATATTTATATCTTTTTCTGCCATGTGTTAAATATTTAAAGAATCAGATTTAACCAAAATACTTTTTTTTTTTTGGTGGCAATAGTTGTTAACACTGCAGAAAGGATTGTTTGACTTTGTTTGGTTGCCATGGGAACAGGCAGCCCATTTGAAATCTACATATTTCGTCGGTAAATGTTTCAAAAGCTGCTCATAGCTTTAAAATTAGAGGATGATACTCCGCCACCACTAGGCCTTTTAAATAAAATATTCTGTGTGATTATCCTGGTGGTTAAAGCAGAAACTGGACAAAGGCCAGCCCTGATAAGATTAATCACTGTTAGCACTCTTTCTGAGAAACCCTTTTGTGTCAGTTTTAAATTTGACCACCAAAAAGACAACAGCATCCTGCCTCTTTGTTGCCATATAAATCCCTGGAACTCATTAGGTCAGAGGATAATTAGGAGTCATGGCTGATGAGAGTTCAACGTTACAGGAGGACGGGCCTGCTGTTTCCATTTTTGTGATTTTGTTTTTTTTCACTGAGCTCAGCAGTTGGCAGAGGCTACAGTGGCAAAAATACATTTCACATAGCTGGTCAAATGCCTAGCGCCAACAGCAGGAAATTTGGAATTAAATGTTTCTTGTATCTGGAGAGAGGCATGACTAAGGTAAAAATTGAATCAAAACACAAGGACGGCTTGTTCTACTTGCATCAGCTCCCCACCCTGGACAGAAAATTCTAATGCAATGCTATTTCTCTACAGTAACAAGGTGGGGTTGTTGGTTTTCGGGTTTTTTAAGCAAAGTAAAAAAAAAAAAAAAGCAGAGAGCTTAGGAGGATTAAAATGAAGCCTAACGCTATGAACAATTGCAAGTTGACAGAGAGGTTTCCATTTGCTAGAATTTTCACTCTGTGGTCCCCCCACCCTTCCTTGCCTTCAGTTGCCCTGTACAACACAATTACCCGCAGGATGTGATCTTATCATTTGATTATTAGAAGCTGTTATAGTACAAGGGAAATAAAGCTGGTGGAACATTCAAAGCTTCAGCTAACATACTATTAGAACATCACACACACACACACACACACACACACACTGTATTTAGTCAACTGTATTTCGTCAACTGCAGGTCAATATTCTCCAAATCAGGCAGAATATGATTCTCTGCTTTAAAACTTCCCCCCACAGAATGCAACACGCTTGAAATGAGCAGCTCAATTTTGTGCTAAATAGCTGTCGCTTAGGCGATTTAAATCAACCTTGGTGCAAGATAAAAGAAGGTGTTTCGCAAACATTAACAGAAAAAACGAACCACAATGTGTATAAACCCTCATGTACAAAAAAAAATATTAGACTTTGAAAGAGTTTTCAGTGTCAGATGTTGGGAGAAGAGTTCCTGTATTCGTAAGAAGCAATCTTGCCGGAAAGCCTAAGAATGGGGATGTGGGTTTAACCATCGCTGTTGTTGTTGTTACGCATAAGAATATCATCAATATGCATTCTGCTTTGCGGAGTTTCATAAGCAAAAAGAGAAAAAAGGCAGATTTCTGCCCTCAAGGAGATTACAGTCTAAATTTTGAAAAGAGGAAGACTACAGAGGAAATGCAGAAGAGGGGAGTACAGAGCAAGAGGAGGGCATTTACTTCCACGTAACCCAGGGTTTGGGTTTGCAGGGCGGGGGTGGAACATGCCTTTATTATGAACGCAATTCCTACATTCAGATTAATAAAATGCATTATTTATAGGATAATTAACATAACGAGAATGTGTAAGCAGTAGCGTATTAAAGAACAATCCTTCTGCAGGCAGCAGATTTCTGAACAGCACGGGGCTATTTTTTCCACTGGAATAATACAAGAATAACATTTTCCAGCCCAGAGCAGAAACAGTAGGGAAGTCTTTGCCATCAACTGAGCTTCTGATTAAATTCAATGACTATGAAAAGCAAGATTATCCTTTTTAAAAAATAAATAAAGGCAACTTAAAAATCAATACGAGCTGGATGAACAAATCAGTGTTTTATTAATCCCGACACAATCAGAGATACATTACATTTAATTGTGGGTACTCCCCCCCCTCTTTTAGCGGGGGTGG